GGCCCCCACCGAGCCACTTGACGTTGCGCGCGCCCACCACCCCAGGCACCACCGCGCGCAGCGGGCCGCCGTGGTCCCGGGGGATGGGGGCGCCGTTCATCTCGTAGGCCAGCAGCACGTCGCCGCGGGGGTCAAGGGCCTGAGGTGTGATGGTTGGGGTGACAAGCACAGGGGGGAGGGGGGAGGAGTCTGGGGTCCGGGCTCGTGCTGTGATGTCAGACGCCGTGCGGAGCGGATTGGCGGCAGTGGAGGAGTGTCCGACAAGCACGAGCACACGAGCATGTGAAGCCTGCACAAGCGTGCACACACACACACACATGCACTTTTCACACACTCGACGTATGTGCTTTGCCTCACTCGCACACACACACACACACACACACACACACACACACACACACACACACACACGTGCGTCCATACACACATGGTCAACTTGCACTACCACACTGTATACAGCTCTTCTTCAGCAAACAGGCGTGTGCGAGCACACCGCATTTGTGCACAGACTGACGCAGTGAGGCGGCGCTCAGCGCATCCCCAACCACGACAGTCACCTTGTGCACAGGGATGGAGGCCATGTAGGGCACGCCGCTCTCATCGACGTCCAGCCCGATGAAATGGATGTGCGCCACAGACGCGTCATCAGGCGACAGCCCTGCCGCGGAGACGGATGAGAGGGCGGAGCAAGACATATAAGCAAGGGACGGCAGCTCTCGGCCGCCCGCGGCGATGCGCCGGCAGGCGAGCCGCTGTGGGCGACCCAGGCCGCGCCGGGAGGGTGGCAGGGGGCGCTCGAGGGTCCGCCGCAGCCCGAGCACGCACGCTTTTGAGCGCAACCAGCTCCAAAGCATGCAAGTCCGTTCCGGCTCCCAGTAGCGCCTCCCGAAATTCAGGGGATGCCCTAGTCCACCCTCCGCCGGCGTGTTGATGTTCAACTTCGCCCCGCCCTACCATGGCAACCCTTCATCGTCGCCCGGCCCCATCGTCGCAGCCCACCCCCTCCCCCCGCTGCCTCCTGCCGGACCCCTTTGCCCCCTCACCCGCCGCCTGCAGTACGTCCCGCAGCCTCACGCCCCCCCAGACCGCAGTGCCGATGGCGCCTGCGTCCCAGTCAAGCCCCTTGATGCGCGCACCACTCGACCTGGGTGCAGGTGTGTGTTCGTGTATGCGGGTCGGGGGTTTTGTATGTGTGTGTGTGAGAGACAGAGAGAGAGAGAGCAAATGAGTAATCATGTTTTGGGCAAAAAGTAATGTCGCAGGGCAGCTGAACTTGGTTGCGTATTCAGGTGCATGCACAGATGCATGTATAACACACACACACACACATACACACACATACACACACACACACACAAACACACACACACGCCACGACAATGGCTGTCTTTCGCTCACCCTGGGCAGGGGATCGCCTTCATCTCTGCGCGCCGGTTGCCGGCGCACTCGATGGTGGCCACCACTGTGGTGTGCTTGAACCTCGCCTTGAGGTCCTCTACAGACAGCTTGACGGCGCGCACGCCATGACCCTCCACCTGCCAAGTGGTTGGGATTTAAGGGGGCTCCTTGGGCGGGGTCAGAGAAAATGGAATGGAACGCACTGACGTGGCGCAGCGTCAAAGGGGGCAGCGTGAGCCCTCCTGCGGTGCGACTGCGGGCGTGGTGGCAGCATGCGCTCCCCTGTCGGGCCCCACGTGCCCAAGTTGAGTGTTGTGAAGCCCAACGGGTCGGCCTTGGTCCCGTCCATTCAGGCCGTGTGGCCGTTTCTTATCCCAGCAACACTCCCCTGCCCAAAATCCGCAGCCGCTCACCCCGGGCCCCCCCGCCCGCCCTTCGACCCCGGGGCGCCAGGGCGCGGCTCACCGACACGGCGAACGCCGCCTCATCCACCACGGGGACCGGCAGGTGGTGCCTCACGTAAAACAGGTCAGTGGGGGTCACCAGGTGGTCTGCCAGCAGGTCTAAGGGCGTCTCCGCGTTGAAGGGCTTGGCGGAGCGCACCACCAGGGC